AATAGAATTAGTTTATGGACATGGTTTTATGAACTCCCTCTCTTCCCTCTCTTCTCTCTATGAACTATGTTTTATAGTTTATTTTTCAACTACTTACATTTTCAAAACTTTGCCTCTTTTTTTCAAAACTTTACACACAAATCCAAGAATTGCACACACAAAATACAAAATGCCTCACATCTCTTGCAAAATGAAGCAATGCATTCAAAATATCACAAACTCATCTCAAAAGCAAACATTTGTCTCACGTTGCAAACCTTTTCCATAATATTATATTTTTGGATATATCATATACACACAGTTATTCAAAACCTAAAGCTCTTCTGTCATGAGCTCCTATGTACATGTCTGTACAAGATTGAAAGTAATTACTGTAAATGATATGAAAACCAACCTCTACTCTTGTATTTTATTTCAAGAAATCATTCAAAAAAATATTTTTTTACACTTCAATTACTTGATCCGAATCCAATTCTTACGGTGGGATAGTAGTGCACAACACAACGAAATCTCTACAACGCATAGGACTAATTTCATTGTGTTGCTGCTTGTTTCCATTGTGTTGACGCTTGTTTTCTGTTTGTCTTGTGCTAATTTCTTTGTGTTGCAGCTTGTTTCTGTTGTGTTGACGCTTGTTCTCCGTTGTGTTGTGTTAAAGGGGTCATATGGTGCTTTTTTTAAAGATCATTATTTTGTGTATTTGGTGTAACAGAATATGTTGACATGCTTTAATGTTCAAAAAACACATTATTTTTCAAATACTGTACATTATTGTAGGTCCTCTATGCCCCGCCTCTCTCAAACGCTTTGTTTTCTACAAAGTCCCTCCTTCCGACAAGCGCAGTCTGCTCTGATTGGCCAGCTGACCCAGTGCATTGTGATTGGCCGAACACCGCAAGCACTCGTCGGAAATGTAACGCCCCTTACCATAATCGCGAGCTTCATCTTTCAAAATAAATGTAAAGACAGTAAATAATGTCATTAGTTTTACCATCAGTTCAAGCCCGAAAGGGGAACAGAGTCGCGTGACAGACACAGTAATGATGCAGTACACAAGCCGCGGTTAAGACAGCTGACGTGCTATGATTTCTGACAGGCAGTTCACTCTCCTGTGATGTGACCCTGTTCCCCTCACACACACACACACACGACGTGTTACTCTGCGCTGCGCAAAACTCCGCATTTGAACAGTCAGTCAATAGCAAATACTTAAACTAGTAACAAAACATACTTACAGTAGCTGATTCAGAAGCGCCAGATTGTCATAGCAAAGTCAGAGTTACCTCCTCTCCTAGGTTCATGAAACGGTCGTCCATAAAATGCATTGCTGTTCTGTTGTAAATAATCTTAATGCATCTACTTTCGGAAGGCCAAGTAAAGTGCTTTTGCTTTCGCCTAGAAACACACAGCGTCTCCCTGACATGCTGCTTCAACACTAATTGTGGTTAGTGAAACCACGCCTTCTTTCTTTGCGTGCACATTTGCGGCATTATGCTAATATTTCCACATAGTGAGGTAGATATGTGGGGCGTGTTAGAACGAGCCGTTTTAGGTGGGCGTGGCAGAATCTTAACTTTGATAAAGAATATCTCTTTGGTTTTGAGACTTTAGTCTTTGCAACTTCAGGGATCTTATCTATGCACAATCAGCTTGTAACACTCCAAAGAGAAAGGAAAACTTGAAATCGCATCATATGACCCCTTTAATATGTGGTGCTCTACCATTTTAAGAGAAAGTGAGACACTCAAACATAAACATGAGTCTGAGAGATTAATGATATGATTCATCTGTTTATCCTAAATATAACTACAGTAAGTAAACAACTTGGCCTGTCAGAAGAAAAGACACATTGAGAGTTGAGACATATTTTCATATTTTCATGTATACAGACTACCGTTCGTACCGTTTGGGGTCAGTATGATTTAAGATTTAAGAAATCAAGTATTTTATTCAAAGATGCATTAAAGTGACTGTAAAGACTTATTACATTGTTACAACAAATATATATTTCGATTATGTTCTTTCTATTAATTAAAGAAAAGAAATGTACCATGATTTCCACAAAACTATAAAGCTACACAACTGTTTTCAACATTTAGAAATTATTGTATTGTCAATTATTGTATTGTTCTAGTTGTCATCACTGACAACTATGCATTCAGCTTTGCCATTAAAATAGAAAACTTGTTTTAAAATGGTAATATTTCACAATATTACTGTTTTTATTATTGCACCAATAGTAATGCCAATAATTCTGGTAAACACTCTTAAAAATAAAGGTGCTTCACAATGCCATAGAAGAACCATTTTTCTAAATGGTTCCCTAAAGAACCTTTAACATCTGACGAACCTTTCTGTTTCACAAAAGGTTCTTTGTGGCGAAAGAAGGTTCTTCAGATTATAAAAAGGTAAGAAAGAGATGGTTCTTTAAAGAACCTTTGACTGAATGGTTCTTTGTGGAACCAAAAATGGTTCTTCTATGGCATCGCTGTGAAGAACCTTTTAAGCGCCTTTATTTTTAAGAGTGAAGGCCAAATGTTTTATTTAACTATTATGGAGTTTCTTTGCAGTTTCCATGTGAAAAATGGTGATCTATGAGTGTTCACCAGCTGAATACTGTGGCTGGACAGCACTCATTAAGAGCTGTGCCTACTTCATGTATGAAAGAGCTTTATTTATAGCCCAGCTAGCATGTGGGCTGAGCAGTACATAAACAAGTATGCATGCTCTCTATAATTATCATGTCAGGCTCTCACATGAAAACTCACAAAGCCACTTATACACACAAAACAAAATGCTCCTGATGCTGTTTAGATCACACGATTGTTAGGAAAGTAGATCACGTCTCTATTAATCTTTAAACATGATTGAGTAGCTTTTCACTTAAATAATCAGTGCTGACAGCAATGATTGAGCATGAAACACTATATGCATGATATTTTGGTATCATATAAATTATCTACCAATATTAGAAATATTTAAATATATTAATATAGGTTGATGTTGGACGTGATGGAACAATATATATTGTGAAAAGCGCTATGCAAATAAACTAACAAAACTGCTGGTTCATTTGATGTGATTTTTGAGTACAACTAGGTAGGTTGGGCTGCTGCCAGGCCTCTGGGGAGCTGCAGATTGGATCTCTTTAAAGCTTTTTGGTTTGGCTCTGCCCAAACATATGCATGTATACGCACCAACGACAGCTAGCCTCTGAAGAACAGCTGTTTTTGCAGAAGGCGAGAGAGAGCGCCTCCAGGGTTCTGCGTTCAGTGTGGCTCACTGCCTAGTAAAGGGCTAAACGTGGGGAACTAATGCACACAGCTCTTAAAGCTCGTAGGAGTAAAAATATATGAGATCCTGCACATCAAAGCACACAGCGTCTATTGATGTCAGTAGTGAAGTAGAAGATGATGTAGGAGCTGAACTTGTAGCCTACAAGAGCAGACCTCTCTAAATGGAAAGGACTGTTTGATACCAACTGACTAATAAACCCCTCCGATTACTTAGTCACCAAGTCGCACTTATAAATATATATTCTATATATATTCTGGCAATTACCTGAAACACATAACAAATACTGGCTGTATATATGTTTTTGAATGGTTATTCATATATTGCTCACTAACTTTATCCCATCTGGAGGTCATTTGAGGGCAAAAACCTGTTTCAGAAGCATTTTTTTTTTCACTGTTGCCATACACTATCGTTCAAAAGTTTGTGGTTAGTACGATTTTTAATGCTTTTCGCTCACCAAATACAGTGATACTGTGATTTTATAAAATTTTAAAGTAACTTTTGAATGTAATTTATTCCTGTGATGACAAAGCAGTCATTACTCCAGTCTTCAGTGTCACATGATCCTTCAGAAATCTGATTTGGTGGTCAGGAAACATTTCTAATAATCATCAATGGTGGTAACATTTGTGTCACTTTTGAAAATGTGATTTTTTTTAAGGATTATTTGAAAAATAGAAAGTTCAAAAGAACAGCCTTTATTTAAAATTTTGTAAAATTATAATGTCTATTATGTCAATTTAATGCATCCTTACTAAATAAAAGCAATCTTTTTTTGCAAAGAAAAGAGAAAAACTGAACTTTTGAATAAAAGTGTACATTTAATTTGATTTAATTTTATATTTAATTGTATTATTTTTTAACTTTATTTTTATAGGAAAATGGAAAGTGGGGATGTGAGAGGGTAACAGGACAGGAACTTGACCACTCCTTAAAATGCAAAAAAAATGAATTTTACTATACATTGTATCATGATTTACATACCCTATTATAAAGCCTTTCTCAATTATTTTACACTGTAAAAAAGATTTTTTTGAAGTTGTAAATAAAAGATTATTGGAGTACATTTTAGAAGAAAATACTAAAAATATTTTTTTGGTCTTTATACTTCAAAATGTCATGTTTAATTCAATGTGTTACTTGCCGTTTCATTATAATTATTTGTGAAATTTAATAGCAATTTCTAAGTGAAAAAGAAAATCCTACACCATTTTTTCCAGATTAGAATTGCTAGAGATTTTTCACAAACATCTGTTTTAAAATTGTTTACCAACTGCTTTCTGTACAACTTTAATTGTGCTGAATTTGGTGAATAATCTGTAGACCTCATTTGCATATTTGTGCCCAAAAAGAATGACAATGACTTCATTAAAATACTCACAGTTTTAAACCCGTCCAGACAGTGCCCTGTTAAACCAGATTGCAGGCTGTTATTAAATATGACATTTTTTGCTCCAAAAATGGTGCAATGTTTATTATACCCATGAATGATTCTATGCAATGGCAGTTTGTGCTTGTGATGACCCCTGTGCCACTTTTTTGCATATGTGTGTGTACAGTTCCCCATGATAAGCGAGTTTGGAGATGACAGGAACTCCTACTGCTCCTTTGAGCCCAAAGACACAGCGCTGCTCCAGTCAGAGAATGGCAGTCTGCAACAGAGAGTCAACATCCTGACCCTCGAGGTGAGAGGACACACACCTAAATACACCCACCCACCCACCTCTTTCTGAACTGTATTTCATCTGATGTTCTGCTAATTTCAAACAACCGCTTGTTATATTATGACTTGGCTATATTGTGTTGTAAATCTGGATTACACGTCACAAAATGGAAAGATTAGAGAGGTAATACGATTAGAAGGGTAATGAAGGACAACTTCAGATGCCCAGTCATTCATGACAAAAGGCCTTACGTAATCTAGACCACAAACAAGCGTTCATTTTTGCGTGCCTGAAGCCCGCTCTCAATCGTCACTCCTGACTGGCTGTGATGTGGAGTGTAAATGGGAAGATCATACTCTCTCTCTGCATCTCTCGGCTCATTGCCTGGCGAAGCGTCTCATTAATTAATGATGCTTGCTATGTGTTTCCATAGCCACCCAGCAGCCTTCCTTCCATCAAAGAGCCAGATTTCTCTTTGTCATCTGTTCTTCTCTCTCTCCCACACCTCCCTCACTTTTGCTGACGTTTGGTACTTTGTGTGTACGTTCCTTATTCTTCCCCTCCTCATTTGACTGTGGCCCTCCTCGATTTGTGTCTTCTTGTGTTTCATTCTTCAATTTTTTTTTCCAACACTCAGAGCTTTGCAGTCATGAGCATTTGCTGAGATCTAATGCAGCGCTATTGAAAGTAAATATCCTGCTGTGTTATTGTTTTCTGAAAATAAGGTACTATTATCTGTGAAGTCAAAGGATCACTGCAGAGAGTGTGTTATAATTGAAGTAGATGCTTATGTGTGTCTGTATTAAAATGAAAGTGCAGGGAACAACATGAGTGCATCTGTTTGACTTTATTATTTTTATATATCAGGCAGAACACCGTAATGTTTTTATTCTTTCTCACACCATGTCGGTTTCCAGAGACAAGCAATTTGTCACAGGGTGAAACTTGTACGCAACATGAACAGTTGACAGAACAGTCACTTGCCCTTTCGACGCTCAACTTTTACATTTCGTTGATCTTGTAATGTCCATTTTTATTGCCTTGTTAACATAAATGTTTGGTTTTCTGTTGCTAATTTGTAACCAGCTTTGTTATCGGAAGTTTTATCGAAATTGCAATAATAATTGCACATTTTCTGTTTATAAAGAAAAATGTTTTATTCAAAAATCATTTTATATTCATTTCTTATTCCTGATTTCTTATTAATTTCTCATGTTATTTTTCATTCATGTATAAATAGCTGAAAAAATATTTATAGTAAATATAAAATAAATTGCTAAAAATAAAAATGGATCACTCAGAACTACTGGCCGACTAAGAAAAAAAAAATGTTTCCTTAGTTGAGTCCTGTTATTATGTAATTATATTTTAAAGGGTCCGGAAACCTCTCAATTTGGCAATATTTCTCAACTGAAAGGAGTTAATAAAGTACTGAGATTTAGGTCATATGTCTAGAACCAGACAGCTATCAGCAGAACTGATATAATTGGCGTACTGGAAAGATATAAAATCCATAACGGTAATAAACAAGCCAGTAAAAAGAAATGTGACAAGAAATAACTCACAAAATGATATAAAAATACAGGTGCATCTCAATAAATTAGAATGTCGTGGAAAAGTTCATTTATTTCAGTAATTCAACTCAAATTGTGAAACTCGTGTATTAAATAAATTCAATGCACACAGACTGAAGTAGTTTAAGTCTTTGGTTCTTTTAATTGTGATGATTTTGGCTCACATTTAACAAAAACCCACCAACAAATTAGAATACTTCATAAGAACTTCATACTTCAATAAAAAAAACATTTTTAGTGAATAGTTGGCCTTCTGGAAAGTATGTTCATATACTGTACATGTACTCAATACTTGGTAGGGGCTCCCTTTGCTTTAATTACTGCCTCAATTCAGCGTGGCATGGAGGTGATCAGTTTGTAGCACTGCTGAGGTGGTATGGAAGCCCAGGTTTCTTTGACAGTGGCCTTCAGCTCATCTGCATTTTTTGGTCTCTTGTTTCTCATTTTCCTCTTGACAATACCCCATAGATTCTCTATGGGGTTCAGGTCTGGTGAGTTTGCTGGCCAGTCAAGCACACCAACACCATGGTCATTTAACCAACTTTTGGTGCTTTTGGCAGTGTGAGCAGGTGCCAAATCCTGCTGGAAAATGAAATCAGCATCTTCAAAAAGCTGGTCAGCAGAAGGAAGCATGAAGTGCTCCAAAATTTATTGGTAAACGGGTGCAGTGACGTTGGTTTTCAAAAAACACAATGGACCAACACCAGCAGATGACATTGCACCCCAAATCATCACAGACTGTGGAAACTTAACACTGGACTTCAAGCAACTTGGGCTATGAGCTTCTCCACCCTTCCTCCAGACTCTAGGACCTTGGTTTCCAAATGAAATACAAAACTTGCTCTCATCTGAAAAAAGGACTTTGGACCACTGGGCAACAGTCCAGTTCTTCTTCTCCTTAGCCCAGGTAAGACGCCTCTGACGTTGTCTGTGGTTCAGGAGTGGCTTAACAAGAGGAATACGACAACTGTAGCCAAATTCCTTGACACGTCTGTGTGTGGTGGCTCTTGATGCCTTGACCCCAGCCTCAGTCCATTCCTTGTGAAGTTCACTCAAATTCTTGAATCGATTTTGCTTGACAATCCTCATAAGGCTGCAGTTCTCTCGGTTGGTTGTGCATCTTTTTCCTTCCACTCAACTTTCTGTTAACATACTTGGATACAGCACTCTGTGAACAGCCAGCTTCTTTGACAATGAATGTTTGTGGCTTACCCTCCTTGTGAAGGGTGTCAATGATTGTCTTCTGGACAACTGTCAGATCAGCAGTCTTCCCCATGATTGTGTAGCCTAGTGAACCAAACTGAGAGACCATTTTGAAGGCTCAGGAAACCTTTGCAGGTGTTTTGAGTTGATTAGCTGATTGGCATGTCACCATATTCTAATTAGTTGAGATAGTGAATTGGTGGGTTTTTGTTAAATGTGAACCAAAATCATCACAATTAAAAGAACCAAAGACTTAAACTACTTCAATCTGTGTGCATTGAATTTATTTAATACACGAGTTTCACAATTTGAGTTGAATTACTGAAATAAATATATATATATATATATATTGCGTTCTGCAAGTGAACAACACCTTGTGGTGCCATCCCAAAGAGGCACAAAATCTCTATCACGGACCTTTTCCTGGACTGTGCCCAGCTGGTGGAATGACCTCCCGATCTCAATTCGAA